AAGTGAAAAAAGAATTAGATAGATTACATGATCAGTACGTACTGGTCCCTGCTGACAAAGCAGGTAACAACATTGTCTTTGTTTGTAAGGCTCATTATATTAAATGTATTTTAGAGGAACTTGGATTTAATTCTACAAGTGGTAATCCAACTTATACTCATAGTTCCCTTTCTAAAGAAGAAATTCTTCAAAATCATATGTCAGTTTTGAATATTTTTAATATTCCAAACAACCAAAATGAATTCGAATTACCATATTTATATTGGATTCCGAAACTTCATTTAAAAATCCTTACAAACAAAGATACATAGCGGGTTCCAGTAAATGTTCAACCAAGCCTCTATCTTTACTCCTCACTAAGATATTAACAGTGGTGAAGGAGAAACTTCAAGAGTACTGTGCAACAATATATTCGAGAAGTGGTGTAAATCAGATGTGGATACTTAAAAATTCCAAGGAACTTTTGGAAAATTTGAAATCACAAGATTTTACCAAAATCAACAGCTTAAAACTTACGACTTTTCAACTTTATACACAACCATTCCCCACGATAAATTAAAGTCCAGGTTTTTTGATATCATTGACAGCTGCTTTTTCAATAAAAATGGAACTCGTAAATATACTTACCTTGTCATTGGTCATTTGCAAAATTATTTTGTTAAAAACATTCTGATTGTACACACAAGTACTCTGAAGTTGACATTAAAAAGATGCTTGAGTTTCTGATTGACAGTATCTATGTGGTTTTTGGAGACCAGGTCTTCCAACAATATATTGGAATTCCTATGGGTACCAATTGCGAAACACTTGCTGTGGCCTTCAACTCGACATTTAGATATATCGACGACGTATTGTCAATCAACAATGGCTATTTTCATTCTTATATCGATACGATATATCCTGGTGAACTTGAGATAAAAGATACCACAGAGTCTGACACATCTAATTCATATTTGGATATTTTACTTGAAAAAGACGTTAATGGTAATCTAACAACCAACCTTTATGATAAACGTGATGACTTTAACTTTTCAATCGTCAACTTCCCTTACTTATGCAGCAATATACCTTCATCACCTGCATACGGGGTATATATCTCTCAGTTGATTCGATACGCAAGAGCATGCTCTACGTATGTACAATTTCTAAAACGAGGTAAATTATTGACAAATAAGTTGATGAAACAAGAATATCAGCTGTCTCGTTTTAAGTCATCATTTCGGAAGTTCTTTGGTCGATACAATGACCTTGTCAGCAAATACAATTTATCATTGAGTCAAATGCTGACTGACGTTTTTCATACTAATTGTTAGGCCATTATTTACACACTGTATTGTCGACGGATTTTTCCGTTATTTCCCGATCACATCTTCGCTAGCCAAGGGTTTTCGGTCCACTCCGCTCCCCATAAACCCTTGGCAGATTTCATTACGAAAATACGGTGATGCGGTGGCGCTATCTAGCGACTAACTAGAGTTGCGCCCCTTGAAACTTCATTTTCTTATCCAATGAAATAATGGGTTACATACACGCTACGGCAAAACAACAAAAGTGAAAACATGTTGACTGACGAATCAAGGAAAAGAGTTTACGACACTTTTAAAGTAAAATTACGAGAAAACCAAGAGAAAGCAATTAATGCTGTGTTATTAAATCGCGATGTGTTCGTTGGGACCCGCACCGGGAGTGGAAAATCGCTGGTATATGAAAGCATTCCTGTCATAAAACCAGGTATCGTCGTCATTGTAGCGCCTCTCTTGTCAATAATGAGGGAACAAGTTGAGAAATTGAACAACTTTGGACTTGCTGCCACTTACATTGGGAAGAACGTTGAGGAAAATGAAAAAATAGAGGCGGGGCAATACGATTTCGTATTTGGTAGCCCCGAAAGACTGATTGGTGAGAGGCGGTGGAGAGAAATGTTCAAGTCAGAGGAGTATAGGAGGCGGCTACAGTTGTTAGTTGTGGATGAGGCCCATACAGTAACACTTTGGTATCTCATAATGATTTTTATTTCTTTTATAATGTGTAGTTTAGTGTACAAATGATATAAATGCATAATGTATAACATGTATAATGAAGGAAATGTAACTAGTACATCATGTCTATAAAGGCAAGTACAGTCTTAGTAGCATGTACCTCAGTCCTCATGTAGTCCTATCAGAATCAAACAGTTGGGACACTAACTCTATATTGCTCAATAGCTTCATTGTTATGATTAAAAGGTCAATTGCTTTAATAATAGTTTTCAAACATGCATGCATGCATCAACATGCTTATCTAACAGCACTGGTTGATTTTAGCATATACATTGGGAATTAGTTCACAAAAGTATTAAGTTTGTGCCTTCCTGATTACATATATCTTGTATCACGTTGATTAAGGTCCTGTTTAATCGAAAGTCCCAGCTATACTTTTTATTATGATGTTGATGATCTCACCTTGGATTATCGTAAATTTCTTGTGACAGAGCAAACAAGTATTTACAAATTAATACCATATAATACATTTGAAATTATTAAACACCATATACATGTATTTTAAGAATCTTGCATGTCATGGAGTTTATACATATACTTCTTTATTCTAATTAGCATAATAATTTTTTCAGGGGAGAGGGAAGGACAGATGAAGATCCTTTCAGGGAGTGGTTTTCAAAGATTCAGGAGCTGCGATCTTTGTGCCTCAATGTTCCTGTCCTTGCTCTTACTGCAACTGCTGGACCAACTCAGAGGAGGAAAAATTTTAAAATGTCTATGCTTTCGACCAGGTTATGAACTTGTTCTTGATTCGCCTGATAGGAGAAACATTAAGATTACTGTGAAACCCATTAAAAATAATGATACTATAGACAAAGTTTTTGATTGGCTTATTAAAGACTTGAGACACCACAGAGAACAGTTACCAAGACATGTGGTCTTTTGTGATAGTATAAGTGACGTTACACAGATTTATTTTGCATTCATTAAAAACTGCAGACAAAATAGATCAAACTTTGAAATGTTTCATAGTAAAACTGATGACGAAATCAAAAACAAAATTAGAGAAGATATGGCTACTGAAGGTCACATTAGAATACTTATTTGTACTAATGCAGCCGGAATGGGTGTCAACTTCCACCAAGTACATAATGTTGTGCACTATGGGATACCCAGGGAGTTGGAGACTTTCGTGCAACAAATGGGTAGAGGTGGGAGGGATGGAAAACCTTCACATGAACTTGTATTGTTTAAGGCACATAAAGGTTACTTAAAACATGTTGAACCAGAACTTGTTCGAATTGTCAAAGATAACAGTGTATGTCGAAGAAATATATTATGCAATGCTTTTCAGACGAAACATTGTGAACTAACACCTTTACATGCATGTTGTGATGTGTGTGAGAAAAAGTGTAAATGCCAATTGGATACCTGTCCAGAATCGCATGTTGCCATGAAAGATGATGAAGAAGGAGGATCTTCCGAAGATGAGATGGAGCGAAATGTTTCAGTTGAAGAAAGACGTCTTCTGACACAAAAGTTGGAATCCTTACAGTTTACATTGTCTGACAGATCAAGCGGTGGGCTTCTTAATTCAGAATTAGTCCATGGATTTACAAAAGAACTAGTGAAAGATATTGTTTCTAAATGTCATGTTTTGTTTACTGCAGAAGGACATTATGCATAAATTCCCTATTTGGTCTTTCTGTGTAGCTCAGGAGATTTGTAAAATAATACTTGATGTATTTGGAGACGAAACAATGTACAATTTAGTAGACAGTGATAGTTCCACATCAGAAAATTGACTGTTGGAAAAAAAAATACTAATATTGCAGAACAGTGCAACTATAAAGTCATGTATGAACATCTTTTCATATTTCAGTTCAAGCATTACATTTTGTAAACTGTTTTTTCCACATTGGGACTCCTTTTATTAGTATTATTATTATTATTATTAATTTTTTGCTTTGTGATATTGTCAATAAAATTATGCCTCAAATTAAAGTTTTCAGACTAAACAAAATATTCTAGGTATTGAAAAAAGTGTTTTAGATATTTAAAGTTTTGCACATCTATATATTAGATGTTTGAAAACAATTAAAGAAAATAGAGAGCTAACAATAATAGAAAGTTTAAAATGAAGGTGGAAAACAGACCTAATGAAGAATGGAGTGATAAACAGGCCTACCAGGCCCCAGGATCATGAAACAGACTTAGAAATAAGTCAAATTTTTAATCGCCTGTAAAATGTTTATTGCTTAATAATTATTGAATTCAATATCAAAATTTGCAAATTACAATAATTTTGAGAATCAATATTGAAACATATTTTAATTTTGAGTTGCTTGACTTCCACAACATTTAAGTATAATATAAAAATTTGGACTTGAGGTTAAGATGTTTCATGATCCCGGGGGGCAGATTTGTAAAAACCAAAATATCTTCAGATCAACTTTATAATATTTATTGGTAACAAAGAGAGAGAGAGAAAAAAAATATCATTGATGACCTTGTGCAATGATAGACATTAAAATTTATTCACTTTGACCCTGTGACACCAGATCTCCCAATTGTTTTTATTCTTTGACCAATTTTAAGGTTCACTGACCTTTGATAAGGGAGACAACTCTAATTGGGATGATAACTATTAAACTTTCCTATATAAACTTTGGAAAGGTCATTTCAGTCTTTTGCAGTATGAGGTTTGCTAAAGTTGTGTGTTTTTTGTTGGAAGATATATTTTGGAAAATCATTAGCTCAAAGCTTAAACTATATGAACTATTAAAGCTTAATCATATGACCAACTTCCTCAATTAAAAAAAAAAAATCATGTTCATATTTTTTTTAATAAAGGTTTAGACTTCAAATACAGGGTAATAGCTTTCCCACAAGCATATACATATATCCACTCCCTCTAATGTAGAAATGACACTGTAATAAATATCGAACAGCTTCTTTAAAATGCTAGCAATAAAGTAACAGTAACAATGCTCAGGTCAACAAATAATCTTGATTACATTTCTAACTGAGCACTTCGTAAGACAGTCTCTCTCTATTTTCTGTAATCCAGGCATGCAAATCTACAACTTTAATGCGAGAGGAAAAGTCAATAAAACCTGGGAAATTAACAAATTCTCTACCAGGAATGTAGTCGAACATTTTGGCATTGTTCAGTTCAGTCACCATTTCCAAAATGTCTGAGATTTTATTTGCTTCAGGTCTTCTTGATCCTGATTTTTTCTTATTGCATTGTGTTTGCAAATTCTCTTTAATTTCTTCTTGAATTTGAGTTGTGAGTGCAGCTTTCTGAACACTGGCATATGTTGCATTGGCTCCTTGAGAGTAAATTTTTTTCTTCACAGTTTGCACCATAATTTCTAGTAAATTATCATTTGGAATGTTCTTTCCCATACCCCCTTGCAAATTTGCAGAGCAATTCCACTGATACTCATAGGCCATTTTTGGTGATAAGATGCAATTGATGTAGGCCAAATACCTAAACAGCCATAACTGATACTTGTTGTGTTTTCCAACACGGGAGAGAAGCATCTGAAATTTCGCATTGGTTGTCACTCTGTTCCCATCTCCCATTTTATATGCGTCATTTGTGTCTCGGAGAAGCAATGCGCATTTCATAAATGATGCTCTGTATATTGCAATGTGGTCCCTTCCAGAAGTAGGTGGTTGATCTTCATAATCAAAAGAGAAATCATGGACTTTTTTCAAATGTCTCTTTATTCCACCACTTGTTTTGTACTGCTTATCACAATTTGGGCACACATACTTCATCTCATCATTATCAAAGAGGTCCTTCATTTGATTTGCTTCTGCATCAAGTGCGCATGTTTTCTCTCTGATGTCATTGATATCTATTGCATTTAAAAAGAAAGAAGAAGAAAATTCTAAACAAGAAATCAAGTTAGATGATGTTGAATCATAACATTAAAGTGCCAAACACACTACAGCAAATGCAGCAGTGCTCTTTAAAAAGCGACCATTGTATTTCTTTTCTCCAAATCTTAAACCTCAATTTTATTTTACCCAATTATTTCTTAGGAAGAAATATCATTTTGTTGTATGCAACTGCAGAAAGACCAGCAAAAAATTAAGTAAATGAAAGATATTCAATTATTTGTACCATCAGCAATCTTCACATATTTGTCAAGAATATCCTTTGCTATTCCATGGATATATGTGTACTTCTCCTGATCAGAAAGAAGATGGAACAATGGCTGGTGGCCTACAGGTTCATCTTGCAGATCCTTGATCCCCATCAAATGCATGTAAGCACCCACAATAAAGGAATCCAAGCAGTCATCCATCCAAGCATAATGAGATCTACAATACAAGTACATGTAGGCAAACATTAATTTAATTCTCCACATCAAGAAGGGAGTACTAAAAGAAATGTTTAAATTATATTACAACCTGTACTTTTGGATAACTTCTTCCGGACCATGGACATCAACTCTCCCCACTGTATTTCTCAGGTGACTCAATGTACCTGGCTCTCCTGCAGATGACACTCTGTAGAACTGTTGATAAATGAACTGTAAAATACAAAATAATAATAATTAATTTTTAAAATACGCTAATAAAATATCCACTGTCATTTAATTCAACAATTGTGTGACAAATATGATGTAAATGATGGAAAAAAAATTTGAATAAAACTTGAAAAGACATAAATTTCACTTTAACAAAGTTTAAAACAATGCATTATTTCTGTATTACCAATAATTTTCACCATATTTTTTGGAAAAAGGTTGGACTTTGAATGATTGAAGTAGTATATATGTAGTAAATGTATTAGTAATGTCTACAAATCAAGAATGAGTTAATGGTAATTAGTAATAAACAAAGAACACTGAACTGTTATAAGCACTATCTCTTAACATGGCTGAAAAAATGTAAGGCAAATAATAATAAACTCATATATCCTCTTAAGCTAAAAGGATAAGAGCTGTATCTCAGCTGAATGAATAAAGAAGTCATGCCTTTTATAAATTCATTAACTGGAACTAAACCAACACACTGATACCAGTAGCAGATTCATCATCCTATGTAACCCTTCAGGTCGGTGAATGACACACTGAAGTTTACTGAATTCTGTCATACCATTGTGAAGTGCTAATTGGGCAGCATATGCTCTCTCATTGGTTAATACATCGCCTCCAAATACCCTCTTCTTTAGGTTTGAAGGGGTATCATTATCTAAATCTGATCTTGCAATACATTTTTCATGAATATATTGTAGTATATCAATCATTTCTTCTGACTTATTCTCACTTTTGTCTAAGAGGTCAATAATGGCATGGTCAGATTTTCTACAACTAGCGTTAAGGTGGGGATGATTTATGTATTGGGGAATGCATGACTTGTACCTATTAAGACTGTCCGCATACTTGACAAGGACCTGCATAATATGGTGCATAAAATGGTTTTCAAGGAAAGCAGACTCTTCCAAGTTTGGAATAAACAAACTGTTTTCCACTTGACTGATGTCAGCAATAGGATGTGTGTCATCAAGTGTAGGATCTACAACTCTTTTTTCTAATGCCACAAGCAGAAACCAGTGCCAGCTTTGTCGTCTTCGGTCAACACTCATTTGAGATGGACTACGTGTTATATCAATATTGTCACCTATAATGTCACTTGACTTACTGAGTCTCTGTGTAATTTGCTCATCATCCTCTGCCGGCTCTGTAAGCAATCTTTTGATATGCTGCTGTTGTCTGCTGAGTAGGTGATGTTTTCTTTTTGCTGATGAAGATGCAGACACACACATGCCCATCTTTGACAAAGTATCTATAGTCTTTAAAAAAGAAAAAAAAAACTTTAAAGCACAATCTGAGCAAAAGAGATTAAATTTTGATTCTATGTCAATTATTAATTTCAGGTACTCAAACTTCAGAAAGTTGACATGATTATATTTAAAATAGATCGCAAATCTAGTATGAAATTGAAGTTATCGATTTAAGTCTACATGAGAAACTAAAATTTAGTGTGACATTGTACAGGACTGATAATTCAAACTAAATAGAACCTTGTTTAAGGAGCTTATATCAGAGAAAAACTGTTGTGAGTAGGGTTAATAAATGTTAACCACTAGATTTTTTTTCTTACATCATCAGTAGCTCCACCATGGTCAAGAATCTGGCCTATGACATGTTGGAAAGCAGACATATGTGTGTTGCTGGATTTCAGCAGTACACATGAAGCTACAATGGCTCCCATGGCATTTTTATTTGTTAATGTTGTCATGCATTGGTGAAACAAAGGTGCCCACAACTTTATTTCCTCATTCACTTTATCAAAACTAAATGTAGCCAGACTTTTGCTATCTATTTGTCTAAGCAAAGAACAGTTAATACTTGATGTCAGTTTCCCAATTTCTTCCTTTAGTTCTTTCATAATTTGGTTGTTGATTCCTTCTTTTAGAGGTGAATTGTAGATAGCCCGAGCTGTTCTCTTTGGTGCATTGTGGATGGTTAAACCTCTGACAATTTCACTTAACTGACAATCTTTTACCAGTTTTGTTCTTACTTTCATTGTTTTCTTTGTTTTGTACACAACCTGTAAAATCATGATAGATTATATTGAGAAAAAGAAGTGGATATTTTTTTTTTTTGCTAGCATTATTACCTGACAAATGGAGCTTTAAAATGTTGTTCTATATATATATATATATATATATATATATATATATATATATATATATATATATATATATATATATATATATATATATATATATATATATATATATATATATATATATATATATATATATATATATACATACATACATACATACATACACACACACATCAATGATGCACTTTAATAATCATAATGTATTCAATTTCAAATTCATCAGTTTTTATATGAAAATGATGTTTTAATTTGTTTACATTTTAAAAAATCAATTATAAAACACATATTTTTCTTTATATGGCCAAAATATAGAAGAAAAATAATTAATTCATCTCTTTGTGCAACATGTAATGACAAAAAGGTATGAAGATCTATGTCCATATCTAATTTGTGTTATATAATACCATAAGTTTATCTTCAGTTTACTAGGTGTGAAGGACTTTATGGTGATTGGTTTTTGAGTGTCAATGGAAGTAGCTTTCTCTGTAGGTAAGTGAAGTCTGAGCACATCTTTCTGATCTGTTGTTTTTTGTTGTTTACCTGGTGGATTTACTGGTGGATTGTTGGTTTGCATAGCCAGGCACTCCTCTGTTTGTTCCTTTTTCCGGGGGGTTGAAAACAAAGATTTTTTTGTCTTTCTGGGTGTTGGCGAATGCACTATGGTTCTTTTATCTTGTGCCTTTGGAGTTCTAATTATATTCATTTGTAAAGACTGTTTGTGTTTCTCCCTAAGAATTCCCAAGACCTCATTTTTTTCCCTCCTTAGAGAGTCCATTTTATGTATCAAATCCATGTCAATTTTGTACAGTTTATTAAGCTTCGTAAAGCAAAATCCACAGACATATTTGGAAAGACCATCGTTGGGGGGGGGGGGGGCACTATAATCGAGGACTTGTGTCAATTGGTTAAAAACACCGAAAGTTTCTCCAAAAATCACGCGTCTGTGCTTCTTTGGAAGTTCGCAACAGCATACACGACAAACTTCCATGGGCGCAGCCATATTTGTTTACAATAGCTTGATACAAACGCTGCGATTGGTCAGCTTATCGTAGCTGTAGCCAATCATAGAACAGATCGTATCACCGTATTTTCGTAATGAAATCTGCCAAGGGTTTATGGGGAGCGGAGTGGACCGAAAACCCTTGGCTAGCGAAGATGCCCGATCATGACAAGGAGCACACGGCGGGTGTGACCGGTCGGCAGGGGATGCTCACTCCTCCATGGCACCTGATCCCACCTCTGATGTTTGGAGGTCCGTGTTTGCTCTGCTCCTATTTTGTATTGTATAATGGACTTTTGAGCTTGAATACTGTTCGTTATCTCCATATATTTCATTAGAAAGTATCATTCAAAAATTAAAGTTTCTCTAATTTCCTAAGTATTACACTTTTAATCGCTCCCAGAAAACGGAATTTCCAATCGGTATATTCAAAATTTTAACGTAAGCCAAACATAGACGAAAATATATACTCTCATCTTTGACAGTAGTTCCCACTTCAGATGTCTCAATGAGGCAATCTATATTAATAATGAGTCTTTTGAGATCTATATGTATCACTTTTTGCTATATTCACCTATTCCATTAGTTAAATAAATTATTTCACGTATCATAACTGTACTTTTAATAAACTTATAATAGTAAATTGTATCTTAAATCTGCTGGACTAGTTATTATATGTTAATTGTACACTTTGAAATGAAAAATATAGAATTTCTGCTACATTTTCTGTGCAGGATTAAAACAGTTGTATACACATAGCATGGATACTCTCCATCCTGTCAGGGCAGTGGAGCGAGGATATACTCCTTTGTCACACAGAGAACGTTAGGTCAGAAGTGGAAGACAGTCTGATTACAGTACGCCACAAAGAAATGGAAGACAGTCTGATTACAGTACGCCACAAAGAAATGGAAGGCAGTCTGATTACAGTACGCCACAAAACATTGATTTGGAACCATATACAAGCACTGTCTTATATAATGCAAGAAAGGCTTGACATGGAAAAAATGGTATATATAAGTATATTGTAGAGTGTGGTGAACTCAGACCTCTTCTAAAAGTTCCTCGGAATTTTTAAATTTATACACCACTTATATTTCTTTTAGGGATTATTGATTTAAAAACTTTTATTTCTTTTTTCCGGAAAGAATAAAAACAAGTGCCAGAGTTAAGAGCACATTTTCCTTGTAGAGAAATCCCTTGATAAACTTTAACAAATACGGCACTTATACTGTCAATGAATAAGTATATAAAAATTATCGAAGCAAATACACTGCAGGGAACTAATTTTGTTACATTAATCAGCATCAGCATAAGCGAAATAAGCATCAGCATACAGATAACATCAAGATCAACATTTAAAAAACAGCATTGCCATGATCAGCATCAGCAAGCAAAGTATAAAACTAGCATTGACCTACTTAAAATCAGCATTGACATACTAGCATCAGATCATCAATGAGGTTTTATTCAGTTAAAAATTAAAAACAGGGAAAGAAAATTAGTTAAATTATTCAAATTATTCAAACTTAATGAAATATTATGATCAAATGATATTATAAGGCACTTTTATTGCTTTAAAAGGCAATGATGAAATTCAGTTATCTACTTCCGGCAGCATGATAGTACTTCTGGTAGCATTGACCTTATCATAAAACAGCATCAGAATAAGAATTACTGGCATTAAATATGCAAGCAAAGGAAGCATCCAAATCAGCATTGATGCTGTAACAAAATTAGTTTCATGCACTGTGCACTTAAATCCTTCAATGATTTACATTATTGATGAGACCTTAAAAACCGAGGTCCCGTGTCACGACAGGCGTTGGCACGATAAAGATCTCTCACTGCTCAGTGGCCCTGAGTGCCGAGTAATGGTCAAAATTTGAAGCCCTTCACCGGTATATGGTGACGTCACTATTTACATTATTGATTTTTTAATCAGAGATAATTGTCACAGAGCTATCCCCTAATTTGAATGAGAGTTAGAAAGTCTGATAAGGTTGCAGGTGCACAACGCAGGCGTTGTAGCCCTGTTTCTCAGGGGTGTCATTTTAGCTAGTTAGAGAGAAAGAGAGTTAAGCAAGCATGAATTTATAATTTGTAAGTATGTCAGTTCTGTTGTCGTATGACAGAGTTCTGAGAGATGAAAGTGAACATTAGGTTGATTTGTGTGAGAAACTGGGGAGTAAGAGATTTGCTATGGCCATGCCCGGAGAACATGTGAGAAAAGAATAGAGAGTGAGTTTGGAAGTCAATGAGAGTGGATGTATCTTATAATTGTGAACTTTGTGTATTAGTATAATTATATTGCGTGTGTTGTAAATATGTAAATAATCTATGTAAATAAAAACAATCGTAAGTATTAATCAGTGCCAGTGACAGGGAGGACGCCAGTCACATAATTAATGGGATGAATCCAAAAACAAATATGAAACCGAAATGTGTGATCATGGTAACGTTGTTGAACATTTTAAATAAAACTGCTTCCTCAAGTAGTGAGTTCTGAAGGTGAGTGATTTTTCACTAAAGGGCGTTATGACATTTCTTATTAATCTATTATTTAAATATCCTACTTCAATTTCACTTTAGATCGGAGAAGGATTGATTTTTTTTATACTTGTATATGATTGTATACATTTTTTGACGCTTTAATTTCTATTAAAAGAAAGGTGCAATAGACAAAATATAAATTTGCAGTTCATTTAATTGATTACGTGATCTTCTTCAAATAAATATCTATCTGTTCTTTATTTTTACACTACCTGATGTTCTTTGGTGTTACAATAAATACTTTGACTCCATAACCAATACCTGTAGAGGTAATCATTTCTCACAAAACTTAAAAATGCAACCGCTATGAAAAATGTAAATTAATTGTAATGGATTGTATTTGTGAAAAAAAATCTAAATTATCATAGATTGCATTATTTTCCTCTTTTTGTTTAGAATACAACCCTGGAAGAATAGGATGGGATTGTAAACAATCTTGTGTGGAGGGATATTACGAAAGGTTGTGCAAATTGTTCTTTGTTTCTTTGTTGTGATCCGGAAGTTGGGTGCCTGTTAGAAGCTACAAAGAGTAACGAATCAACAGCTTCAAGTATATATTCTAAAATCTTTCTTCTAAACTATCAATAAGATAGCTGTTGAAGAAATAGTTATGCATTCGAATACTATGGCATAATTGTTATTGGTTTATTGATCTTTTAAAGAATACAATAGGAACACTTGCAAAAACAACACCTCAACAAAAAAATTAAGTCCTCAAATTTTCTGTAATGGCAAATAAAAGAATCAAGGTTGAATATACATTTGTGACAAAGTATGTTTTGGGAGATTTTTTTAAAAATAATATACTTTAAATACCGTGCTCATTTCAAAGATTACATGATTTTTAAACGGATATCATGACTTTCAACTCTTGATTTAAATGTCCTTGGAGCCAGGACCTATAGAGCTAACGTATAATTAGTATGATAAGGAAAAAATCCTAAAATAACAACACAGGCATGATTTTAAAAGTATATATATCATCATAAAACAATAAATCAGAGCTATAAAGAAACACGCACACAGAAATCAATTAGTACACACCATATAATCTCTCTCTCTCTCTCTCTCTCTCTCTCTCTCTCTCTCTCTCTCTCTTGGTACATTCATCTCCCATCATCGATTCAAATGCATTTGATAAAATATTTTCCATTTATCATTCAAACAGATAAGAATACTTCACGTTGGTATTCAAAACTATTTTTTGGAGGATGACTCAAAACTAGAAGTAATTCAAATGCCATAAAAATTTTCTTTATCATTCAAAGTTTTCGGAAAATAAAAACTTTAAATTGTTGATATACTAATTCTATATTTTCTTCCAAGAATATACTAGCTATAGTTTACATTTTTACTCACCCAAATTAAAAATTAATCACGTTTAATGATAAATGCCGTATAAGAAATTTGAAATTTACACTCTTTAATGACAATAATTTGTTTAAAAGTATTTTTGAACTATTAATTAGTTTTTTTATATGTTTGGGTCATATATGAAAAATGAAAATAGTAGAAAGATATTGCAATCTATGTCGTAACAACTGCAATTGATGAGTATTTTTTTTTTAATTTCTGATTGAGGGCTGTGCATTCATTCTTATTCTGGTGCTGTGGTATGTTTCAAAAATTATTTTTATTGTTTCATTGAATTATTCAAACGAATATATCCTTTACAATTTTGAAGCTAAAGAATTCCATTAGCTTTCTTGTTAACTTAAATACAATCAAATAGATGAAGTTAATTGTAGTTGAACAATATCTTATTTATTCATTTTTTCATTTCATGTAAGAACTTTATTACCAAATACAAATGGTACTTCGAGTTCGTTGCCACGAAGCTCTCAGAGAGGAATATACATATTTTATCGATAAGTTTATTAGGAAAACCTACATATAGTCTTCCTATATAAAAATATATTCACAGCTTATAGTGTTACCTCTGATTTACCATTATTTCAATGACCATTCAAACTTATTTATGTACAGGCTGCTGAAATCGCTTTGTTTTTCTTCTTTTTTTTTAACATCGCGCTCGATGCTATAGGATTTTCTAGAAGCTTCCTTCAATATTAAGATCGGTGAATGAGGAAAATAATTTGCACATTTCCCATTTTAATCAGTTATCACAACTTATATCTTTTATGTCATTTAAATCAAGTTTTGATTGAATAATTCAGTGATGACGTTTTATGAAATAAATAAACAATTAATTGATTGATGTCAGTTTCATTAAAAATTGCCAGTAACTTAGATCCGCCCACCGGAACTGCCACCGTACTCACGTTTTTGCTATTTCATGACTGTTTATAGAAAATGAAAGTAGACTTTTAATTTAATGTACGATACTGACAATGCGAGTGAAATCTGAAAATAGTTTACGGACATCATCTTGTATCTAGCATACTCATAGAGGAGTTTGTAAGAACTCTGGTGCACCCGTTTTGGAG